TAAGTTGAATAGATCGATATATGGACTAAAACAAGTCTCTCGTGAATGGTATCTTAAGGTTAATGATACAATCACTGCTTATGATTTTGTAGAGAATACCGTAGATCGATGTATCTACATTAAGGTCAGTGAGAGTAGATTTGTTATTTAAGTTTCATATGTCGATGACATATTTATAGTTGCTAATAATGTGGACATATTGCACGAAGTAAAGTATTATCTCTCTAAAATGTTATGAAATAAAGGATGTGGATGAAACGTGTCGTCCTTGCTAATTGGAATAAAAATATTCTGGAATAGATCACAAGGACTAAAAGTTTATCTCATAAAAGTTTTATTTGAGAGATAATGGATGGTTGTTCCGTATAATTTCAATTCATAAAAGGGACACATTTGGTCTAAAATAAATGTCCGAAAGGTGAAATGGAATGAAAAGTGATGGAGTAAATTCCTTAGATATAAATGATTAGGAGTCTTAAGCGAAACGAACCTGTACTAGGTTTGATAATATATTTGTTGTTGGTACGTTAAACAACTATAAAATGATTTTAAATGATTATGCTGCAAAGAAATTTTTAAAGTACTTACAAGACATTAAAGAACAAATGCTCACTTAAAGAAGATCCAAATTATTCGTTATAATTGGATACTCGAATTCAGACTTTTGCTCATAATGTCTAAAGGAGCAAAATTATAGAAAAGTGGGACAAAGTCCATCACCGCGACTTCCACAATTAAGTTTGAGTTTGTGGTATGCTTTGAGGCTACAAGTCAAATTTAGGGCTACGATGCTTTATCTTAGGACTTGGAAATGTCGACATCTTGTCCAAGCCGCTAAGAAATTATCGTAGTATCGTAGCAATAATATTTCAATGAATGACAAGTATTCAAAGGGTGTGAATCACATAAAATTAAAATACTTGGTCGTAAAATATAAGTGAAGAAATAAAGTGTCATTTGAGCATTTTAGTACTAATTGCATGAAAGCGGATCCATTAAAGTGTTATTTTGAGAATAACGAATGGGGCCTTGTTGGACTGACCGGTACAAAATGAAATTGCTCAATTAATGATTTTGACACTTATTGAATTCGATTAAAGATGTTTGGTTCTTCACATACAATATCATCATTATGGATATTTGATTTTATAGTATATACATAAAAGTTGGATGACTTATGGTTATGGTACGAATAGTTTGTTCCATATTAAAGTGAAGTTGAATTAGAAATGATTTGTGGTACATGGAAGGGATCATGTCGCTCGAAGACTTGTGACCGCCATGACTCGGTTAATTTCTAGTTTGATTTTAAACTTATAGATATATGTATTCAATTATGAGTTTGATGAAAGGTGCGCGCTTAAAGTAGTTTTTTGGGTTTCGACACTTATATGGTCCAAGTGGGAGAATGTAATAATATTTTATATATTATTCTATTATTGTGGACCATATAATTAGTTGGACCTACTTGAATTAATAGTCAAACTTATTTAAGGTGAATATGTATTTAATGGATTATTAATGTTCTAATATTAAAGAGTCCAATTTGTGATGTTTGACTTGGACAATAAGTTAAGTTAGAACATGGGGAATGATAGTAAGAATAGGATTGTAGGTCTCCTCCTATATATACTACATGTCCCTCTCTCACATCTCATACGAAAATGAAGTTCTCAACATTAAGGGCTTTGTGAAAAGACGAGAGGCGCGGGGGAGAGAAACAGAAACCACAATCGGCCAGACATACAAGAAAACATGGAAGGACTAATGGATTCTTGTAAGTTTCTATGTGCAATTTAATTTATGCAAAAGATCCATATTCTATGAATTGATAGAATTACATGGTTAGGGTTTATTCGGTTCCGTCTAATAATTATGAATATACTCGTTAAATTCTTACACGTCAAGTATAAAATTGTATAATCATTAATCCAATTAACAATATTCGTACACATATGTATGTATGTGACATATGGGCTAAATTATTATTTTTTTAGAAAAAAATATTGGGATCGTACTATTATTGGTATTTGGTACACATGTAAATAAATTACTACTACTAAATAGAACTCTAAGATTTAGTGGTTGTTGGGTAGCTTTAGCACAATAATTTTGATGCCCATATTACCTTGGATAGAGAAACTAAGTACAAACTAATAATTTTATAATTAATTCATAAACGTACATTAGCTTGCAAAAGTATGGGTGCATTGACCAGTCAATCTCATCCTTTTAAAATATCAAAATATTTTCACAATATGTCAACTGGGAAATTTCCCTTGAAATTTAATAAAACTTACCAAGAAGTCTTGTAACAGACGAGTTAAAAAGATTATTTAATTCTAGTGTAATAGACGAGTTAAAAAGATTATTTAATTCTAGTGCAAGCAATAAAAAAAATATTGGCCTCGTTTGGTAGATAGCGGATTGAAGATAAATTAGCGGATTGGACTTAATTAAGAGGTTTGACCCGTCAAATCCGCTATTGAGTTTGTTTGGTAAATAGCTTATTTGATAAGCTTTTTGGGCCCAAAACTCTAATTTAGAAAAAGCTCATTAGAGCAGCTTTTTGGGATAGAGGATTCACAGAGGTTTTACTTGGAACTTTTTAATGTGTCTTATTTATTTTACAATTTACATTGGTTTATGGAGCTAATAAATAATAATATGTCATCCATATGATTAATTTATCTAGAAAAATGTAAAATTCATAACTTCTTCATCAAGTGTTAGTAAATTTAAAAAAAAATATATGTTTATAAATTACCAACTAAAGAATATTAAATGTTTTAATATATTATATTGATTTCTAATCCAATAGACAAATTAATTGGTTCATTAAAAGAATACACCCTAAATAATAAAATGTCCTTATTAGTCATTTTGCAATGTCAAACAGCTATAAGCTTTCAGCTATTTACCAAACACTTATTTAAAAACCGCTAATGCAATCCGCTGGTCAAATCAACTAATATAATCCGCTATCCGATATCCGCTATTCGCTATCCGTTGATCGCCAAACAAGGCCATTATCAAACACATCTGTCATCAGTCATTCTAAGCTTGTAACCTAAGTGCATGGCCCAATTAAGAAAGAAAAAAAAAAAAGAATTATCAAAATTGTTTTTAAATTATAACTACTGAAGTATATTGATATTCTGTTGCAATTTTACCTTAGACGTAATCCCGATAGCGAGATGGATGCTCATTGGGACACGTGTCAATAAAAAGTCAAATGGAACTTTTTCGATGAAATTGGGAAGAGCCTTCATGAAATTTAGAAGAAAATATTTCGCGCCAGGGTCCCGCCACTTTTGACAAATTATAAGTAGTCAAATGAATTAACCATGAGTTATTTGTGACTTATTTATATGTATATAATGATTAATAAAATTTTTTGTACTTTTTTGCAGGCCAAATTTACAATTAAAGGAGTTGGAATATTTATTTTTTTAAATTGCGTTTATCATATTGGATGTATTGTATATTTTGGTATGTATTTTTTTGTGAATTATTTATTATTTATTTAGGAATTTCAAATACGTTTTTTATTTTCCAAAAAAAGTTAATTTAAATGTAACCACAACAATGACATCTAATCAAATTAAATAGTCAACACATTATATGGTCAGCTGTAAGTAAATCAAAAGTTTAAAATGATTTTTGTAATTTTAAAGTGATTAATGTGTTGATTATCTAATAATTAAATGAAAATTTAAATAAACAAAAAGTAACAGTTTTTTTAGAGAAAAAATTATATTGCCACATAGGTATAATTTAATAAGTTTTATTGAATGCTCATGAGTCAGCAATTATATATATATATAAATAAATATATTTATGTTATATTTTATTCCAATAAATTGAATCACATTGAATTGATGTGTAGATTTTGCATGGGGATATAAATTGCATAATTGCATTGAATTTAATTGCATCCTATCTCCATGCTCTTTTGCTGTGGTCCAATCCCCAACTCGTTATGGTTCTATTCCAATGTTTCTTTTTGTGTAGCTGGAATAAATGACAGAATAATTTAATATTAATATTTGTCAAATCTCTCTAAATTATATAGTCATGTATTATAATAGTGCTGTTAAATTAAACGAGTCCGGCTCAGCTCGAGCAGCTCGACTCGCTTGGTAAACGAGCCGAGCTCGAGCTCACTGATAAGGCTCGAAAAGAAAATTTTTATATAATTTCATATAGTTTGACTTGTAAAGCTCGAGGTAGGCTTGTTATTAGTGACAAACGAGCCGAGCTCGAGCTCAATTTTAGGCTCGTTGATTTAACGAGCTCGGCTCGTTAAGGGCTCAAGCTCCAGCACCCTAAGTTCTAGCTTGGCTCGGCTTGTTTACAGGCCTAATTATATTCCTACCAATTATTTTCCTTCTTTTTACAATTTCATTATTCTTACTTTAAAATGAAGAATAATCTCAAAAGTTATTTATTTATTCAAGACGAGTGGATAATTTGTTAATGCACATAGTTATTATTTTGGATTAACATAGACCTACAAATTGTCCATGTCTAATTATTGAAAAGTAGTGCACAATTGAGAAGTTTTGATCCAATTGAGAAAATTTGACACGAGGAAATTTTACCAAGTGTTATTTTAGCCATCATATTGATACATACATGTGTATATATACATATAATCTCACGATTTCAAACTCTAATATAGGAAAGTAGAGTTGAGTTTCTCTTTGGCAATATTATTTTATTATCATAACTTAAACTCAATATTATTTTTAAAATAAAGCAATACGTTTCTACAACTTTTTTCTTTCCTATAATAAAAACAAAAACAATTTATGAAAGCAAATTATATCGCCTTATCCCTTTATCTACTCTGTTGCCCAACAGCTCATCAATCTTTCCTTATCTCATCCCAATTATTTATCGAAATAAATTCTCCCCAAATATATGCTTTCCATATTTATTTATTTATTTATTATTAATACTGTTAGTAATAAATTAAATAACTAATTTCCAGCAAGGCATTGTACGGTTGTCACGTTCCTAAATAAGAAAACCTTTTATTTATTTATTTTTTCCCGCACAATATAAAGAGCCAAACCTCGTCTCATTCAATCTCTCAACTTCATCTCTTTCTTTACTCTACTTTTTAATAACTGTTATTTTGCCGAGGAAAGAAACCCGATGTCGATTAGCAGTGAGTCTCCGTCCGCCGCCGCGAGCGGTGGGGGAAGTGGCTCCGACGCCGGCGAGATCATGCTGTTTGGTGTCAGGGTGAAGGTTGATCCGATGAGGAAGTGCGTGAGCATGAACAATCTGTCCGAGTATGAGCCTGTTGGTGGTAGCAACGGCGATCCGAGCGGTAAGGAGTTTCCTAAGGCGGCGGCCGTGGCGGAGGGTGGTGGAGCCGCTGGGTATGCCTCCGCTGATGAAGCGGTAGCGCCACCGTCCAGCGGGACTGGAGAGCGTAAGCGAGGTCAGATCTCCGATTACAGTTTTTCTCTCTTTTTTTTTAATTAGCTTCCTTGAACTTGAAGGTATTGGGTTCAGTTGAATCTGAGATTTGTGGTGATCAATCGTGAATATTTTATGCCATCTCACGTGATTTCATCTTTTTTGTTCGCCTTTTGGTTTGGTTTGATCAATCAGAGTTCACGAATCGAATTTGCTGCTTGATTGGGTGTGGCCGTGTGGGTGTGGGTGTGGGTGTGAATTTCGTTTTTTATTTCTGAATTAATTTGCTATTTAGGATAAGAAACCGTGGTTTTCTCATCGGATTGTCTTATTTTCCTCTCATGTGAATCATATTCTGATAATCTGCTATCCATTTGGATTTGTGACTTATTTACAGGGGATTTTGATGAACTCATTTTCTATTTAGGATAAAAAACTTAGATTTCTCGTGAGATTTTCTCTGATTTTCCTTTCAAGTGAATCAAATTCTGATAGTCTGTTATCCTTTTTGATTTGTGACTTGTTTTTGCAGGTGTCCCATGGACAGAGGAAGAGCACAGGCTTTTTCTTGTTGGATTGCAAAAGGTTGGAAAAGGAGATTGGAGAGGGATCTCTAGAAACTATGTCAAGACTCGAACTCCGACTCAAGTCGCGAGCCATGCGCAGAAATACTTTCTCCGCCGGAGTAACCTTAACCGCCGGAGGCGTCGATCGAGCCTCTTCGACATCACCACCGACTCTGTAAATTTTCGTTTTAACGCCTTTTTTTTTTTGCTTCACGTGTTTTGAAAGTGCTTGTTGACCAAGTTAATGGATTTCTGTTCCAATTGTTTCGTACTTCATTAATCTGAATATGATGCATATATTCACCCCTGTTAGTATGTTTTTGTAAGTTTAAATTGCCTTTTTTTCAGGTCAAAAGTTGATATAGAATTTTGAATTTTCCAATCTAATTGTCCATTGTTGCTTCTATTTCCCAACAATCATATCATAGGATTCCCACAGTTTTGTATACATTCTGTTGCTTCTATATATTGTGCTCCCATCTGATGAGTTTAATTAATATAATTCTGGTTTTTCCTTTGTTATCATCATCAGGTTACTGAAGCACCAATGGAAGAGGCTAAAAACCATCAAGATAGAGACAGTCGAGGCGGAGCTCAACCAGTTTCTCATTCTCAGACGGCTTTTGTGCCGTTTGCTGTAACTCCCAATATCAACGGATTCTCCATGGTGCCTTTTCCCGTGTCTTTTAGCCCGGTTTTATTACCAATGCAGCAAAACGGGCACCACCCAATGGAAAACTCGGGTTTAGCTCAAGCTGACCGTATGAATAGCTCTCAGCCAGTGTTTGTCCCAGTTGTTCGTGTCCCAATTTCTTCGGCTATGGCGCCTCCCGAGCTTTCTTTGTCGACTGGCGGCCAATCTTTTCCGGTGATGTCGAGCTTGAAAAATGGAGATGGGTTCATAAGTGTTGCTTGAGGAAGAACTGTTTGAAAAGGAGCAACTGCTAAAAAAAATGGGGAAAAAAGGTGAGTTATGGTAATTAGAGAGAGAAAAAGAAAACATTTTAGTGAAAAAGATAGGGAGAGATTTGATTAAGAAATAGACTGCTCAACTAGCTTTTGACTTGAGAGAAGCCATGATCTTATGCATTGTACAGACCAGAGAAATATGATGCTTTGTTGTTCTCTCTTTGTTTTTATTGATAATGTTTAAGATTCTTGCTTTGTTGGTTTGTCCCTTTTGGTGATTGAAGAATAAAATAGAGAGAGCCTTTTGGATTGTTTATAGCCCTTGAATTTGTGCTTTATTATTATGTTGTGTTGGGGGGCTTTGTTGTCCCTTTATGAAATGTGTGTGCTTATGATAACTTTTTTTATTTAGCATTGAATGTGGGATAAAGTTGATGATAAGTTTTTATATTGCTTTAAATGTGGGATAAAATCAGATTGTCAAACCTCATTAATTGCTAATGGGAAACTGAGTGGGACCTTTCGGTCTCATTTGGTACCAAACAGGATAGGATAGCTTATCCAGAGGTTGTGTGATTCTGAGCTGGTGATGCCTTTTCTGGTGCCTTGATTTTTTTCGTTTTCACTTTTGTCAAATGGGAATATTTGCTGAAATCTTTTGAAACAAGATGAATATTGTGTGCAAGTGACGTCACATAAAAAATAATGTCTTCATAAAAGTTGTTTTTGATTTTCATTTTGAAACAAAAGGAACATATTTTCTTGGTTTAGTATTTGAAAAAAAAAAAGTTGGTGTTTTGAAAAAATATAATATATATATATATGTACAAAAAGTTATTTTTTTGGAAAAATATAATGTATGACCCGCTAAATCTCTTCAACTAAATACGTGTGTTAATCTTTTACCATCGTGGTTTATTATAGTTAAAATTGTTTTGTTAAAAATATAAAATAAATGAGTTGAAGTAAAGGAACAAATGAAATATCATCACATTTTTGTCAGCATTTTTCTTGTTGTAACTTGTAAGACATTAAATTTTTATTATTTTAAAATAATTATTACAAAGGTGATACAATTGGGTATATCCACGCAAGCATTCATAAGCACATTAACTACTAAACGATCAGTTGCACTACCGTGTGCCTTGGCACACCTTGCTAGGTGTGCCAGGCTAGATTTGCACGCGCGAGCCAAGTCAAAAAAAAGTGGTGAAAAGGATTTTATTTAACGTGAAACCACGCGCCTTTCAAATCAATACTTTTGCTCATTAATTATTTTTTTTTTTCCCAATTTTGCCCGCATCGTGCCTCGATTTTCAAACCGTCTTCTCCCCCAACTGCAACTCCTCTTCATTCTCACCATTATTTTCTCTTAATTTTCTTTGTTTCACGAGCAAAATTTTCTCTTAATCATTCGAAGGCATATCCCTGTGAGAGCGAAAATAGCGGGCTTGATTGCATGGAACTAACTCATGGTTGTGTTGATCCACTTCTTGCTCCACTATCCAATTAGCACCATCAAAAAGAAGCTGAATCATTGCCTTGCAACCAACCCGTGTTTCCAATTTTGTATAACTCCTCTCTTTGCCCACTTTGCTTTTAAACCCTTGCTTATTGCAACAAAATAGTTTGCGATATACATTATTATCCTTCTTCTTTCTTGACCTGAATTTTCTAACTCCAAAACCATGTCTCTTCGCATATGAATTGTAGAATTCATAAGCATATTCCAAGGAATTAAATTTCATCCCAAGCAATTTTTCATCATCGATCTCTACAAAAATATAAATATGTTCCGTTAATAAAATGAATATGTTGAGTTAATATATGAACATGTATGCATTCCATATCGAACTTTTCCAAAACAGAGAGAATAAACACCTATTTAATATATGAATATGGTTAGTAACGAAATGAACATATTTATATAAAAAAATGAACATGTGTAAAAACAAAATGAAATAAAAAAATGAACTTTTTCTACAAAATGAAATGAACATGTTTATATACAACAATGAACATGTTGTTATGAGTATCTTTCATTATGAAATGAACATATGTGATTGTAGAATGAACATGGTTTCTGAATTACCTGCGCCTTCACCATTGGCTTCATCAATGGATATTACCGCGGTTTCATTACAATCAACATGTTCATCGTCATCATCAAGCGATATTACCGTGGTTTCATTACAATAAACATGTTCATCCTCAAATAAAGAAATTGTTTCCGGATTGCAAGACCCAACTACACTTTTTTCCATATTGGAAGACCCAACTACACTTCCATCTCCAAAATGAACATGTTCATCCCCCAGATTAAAATGAACATGTTCATCGTCTTCATCAAGCGATATTACCGCAGTTTCATTACAATCAACATGTTCATCCTCAAATAAAGAAATTGTTTCCGGATTGCAAGACCCAATTACACTTTTTTCCAGATTGGAAGACCCAACTACACTTCCATCTCCAAAATGAACATGTTCATTCTCCAGATTAAAATGAACATGTTCATTTTCAATATTAGAAAACCTAGGGGATGCGTCTACATCTTGTAATATCACCATCGGAAAATTCAGTTTTGCAGAAGATAAAATCGACAATTGCCTTCAGGAGAGAAAATATGGAGTGAAAGAGGATTTTTTGCCTTGAAAAATGAGCCCAATTTTGGCGGAAGGAAGTTCTACTTTTTACCGCCTTTTTCTTCTCTCTCTCTCTCTGCGCGTGGGAAAGGATTTGGACAAGATTTTCATTTTAAGGCCACGCTCCTTTTTCTTACGTGCATTCACCCTCTGGCCTGGCACACCTAGCAAGGTGTGCCCTGGCACACCTAAGTATTTGCGCTAAACGATATAGCTATATTCTTTTTTAAAACTAATGTAAAATATTTAAAAACGACTGATGTACTATTCATCCATAATCTATTAGAAATATAATAAAATTATAAAGTAATGGTAAATTTCTTTGTTATCTACTTAAACTATTTAATTTTTTTTATAAATTAAATTTGTTCCCATCTCAATTTAAGTCCGGCTCCGCCCATTAAAAAAAAAAAATGGTTGAGTGGCAGTTGTTAAGGTAAAATATTCTAATTTATGGGGGAATATATTACATATGTCCAGAAATGCAATAAAATTGTTCACCGCCAAAATTCAGGATCTTACAATATATAAAGCGTGTAAATAATTTACCACTCTTTCGAGTAGGGTTAATGCTAGTTTGTTGGCCAAAGTAGTTAAATTTAATGCGTATTCAAATGCAGATGGTCCTTCCCCTTCTTCTTCATCTTCCTAAAATTTCTTTTAAAGAAAAAAAAAAGAAAAACAATAAAAAAGAAGATCCTAATACTCTTAAAAGATATCCTAACTATTTAATAAGACCTCCAAAAAAAAAAGAAAAAAAAAA